GTAAGCAAACCCCACCTGCTTCAGCCCCACCATCGTCTGGTACTTACGTATTCCTGGATCGTGTTGGGATGCTCGATACCAAGGACCCTTTCGCTCATTAACACGGCTTTCTGTTGATTACTTAAGGCCTGGAAAGCGGGGAGAAAGGGTTTAGCCCCAGCGTGTCCCGGTGGGCATCTGCCTACCACGGACATTTTGGATCTGGGAAAAGGGATCCAGATCGAGCTACTTTTTGAAACTTAACACAACAGGCAGGAACTCGGTTGCAGGAAAAGACTGAAAGAACTGGGCGGGATTGGCTTGGAGAAAAGAAGATGGAGGGGAGATCAGACAGGTAGGATAACACTTTTCAAAGACCTGAAAGGCGGTCCCGTAGAGGAGGGGCAGGATCCATTCTCCCATCATCCCCAAGGGCAGGACACGCCACAAGGGGCTCAAGTTAAAGGAAGCCAGATTTCAGTTGAACAGTAGGAAAAACTTCTTTACTGTTAGAGTAGTACGATAAGGGAACCAGTTTTCTTCAGAGGTGACGAGTGCTCCAACACTGGAGGCCCTCAAGAGACCATTTTATGTCTGATGTACTAGGTTAAAATCCTCACTAAGGTATAAAGCTGATTGGGTGAGGGGAGAAAATTTTCACAAATGAAATTGGTGGAACTCCATGCCACAAGATCTAGGGATAGCTGCCAACTGACGGCTTAGTTACGTACCATATTTTTCCATGCATAAGACTATACTTTTGTCTAAAATCTTTAGACTAAAAACTGAGGGTTGTCTTATACACGGAAGTAAGCTGAGGAGAGAACAAAAACAAGTGGAGGGGGAAGGAGGGATCAGAGTGATCCTACAGCGCTTTGATCCCTGCTTTCCCCCTACACTTGCTAAGACCCACTTAGATTTCTTAATTTTGGATTAGAAAAGTTGGGGGGGCGTCTTATACATGGGGGCGTCTTATACACGGAAAAATACGGCAATTACTGACGGCTCCTAGCCCACAGCTGGTAGGATCTCAGGCTGCTGTGGGGACGACAACAACACCACACACACACACAGACAAAGGACTCTGTACCTCTGAATAGTCTCCCATGATGTAGTTCAAGCGAGCCAAGAGCCGAAGACAGGCACAGATTTCCACGTGCATCGCGCCGTACACGTTGTTGAACAGGTTTAAGGCCTCACTGATCAGCTCGCAGCCTTCCTTCAGAAAACCTGAAACGAACGAGGAGGGGTGATGGTGTTTCTGAGACTCCCTGCGTGCCGGAAACTGGGGGGGGGACACTCCGGAAAAGGACACGGCTGGGCCTGCCAAAGGAGAGCGTTGGCAACATGTAAAAGTGGCATGTACGGAAAATCCTAGTGGGGCTCACAATGAACTTATGAGGAAGAAGCCACAGCGTTTGCCATCTGCGGGTGGAATGATGCCAGAGGATTTTGGCCCCTCCTTCGTTTCCCATTTACTGAGCCTCGAATTGGCGTCATTAGCTCATCGGCCGGACTGACCAGAGTGTGTGAAAGAGAAGTGGTGGAGGGTTCGTAATAATCTGTCTGCTGACAGAAAGAACGTTCGCTTACTCGTTTGCTTCAACGCAAACTTCTAGTCCTCATGGATTTCCACGGATCGAACATTCACTTACCGACTAGCCATCAGGGCTCAGCCGGAGTCAGGTTGAAATGAAGTTTAAAGGCACATTTAGTTTTGAAAAACACAAGCCAGGAGACCGGCAAGTGGGCTGATAGAGATCCTTCACTGGCTCCAGCAGGGGAAGTTGCCGAGTTGGAGGGAAGGACAGACGGCAGGCCTTCGGGTCCAACCCTGTACCTTCTTCGAATCCCCCAAATTAAAAGCATTCAGAACTTACTGTGGGCTGGGGCCTCCAATTCCATGAGGGAAGTGAATCCATTCCACATTTTATGTTGTACCTTACAAGCACCTGTCCAGGGTGCTGAATAGACTATGATCACTCCAGAACCCTAGAGAGCTCTGAGGTCCAGACTAAAACCTGGCATGGATCTACTGCTCCTGATTGCGATTAGAAAGGAACAAGCTTTTGCTCGAGGGGTGGGCCTCATCCGGTCCTCTAGATGTTCTTCTTCAAAGAGAAAAGACTAGCTGCCTTACCTACAGACGAGCCTCGCACCTGGACCCTTACCTTGCTGCACTTTGGCTTGCCCGCTCTGGAAGAAGTGGAAGGCGTCCGAGGCTTTGGGGTTGACGTGTTTCACGACGGGGAAGATGTTCAGGATGTCTTCCTCCGTGAACGTTGGCTTGTGCCGGTTATCAAAGTTATACTCCTTCAATAGGATCTGAAAGCCAGCACAAGGCATCATCATCATCGTTAAGAGGCACCATCATCATCATCTGAGAACTGCAGAGCTGGAAGGGACCCTATGAATCGAGTCCAGCTCCTGTCAAGGAGGGGCCGGTGGGGGGATTCGAACTCACAACCTCTGGCTCCTATCTGGGCAAGAAATCCCGGGCCACACCTACTCATGCGCTGGTAATCTCGAGGACCGATTCCTACAACGCTCTCTACGTGAGGCTGCTTTTGAAGGCGACACCCCCAGCATTCTCCTCTCTAGGGTCACATTTTTGCTTCCCAGAATGCTCGCTGGTGGTAGGCCCTCAGCCCAAGGAATTCTGGGAGTATCACATGGTGCCCTAGGTTCTTAACTTCCTGCCGCTTCATTGTGTCAGGGGGCATTCTGGGAAATTATCAACGACTGTTATTTATCACGTTTATAAATTCCACCGAAACGATGGCGCTGCTAAAGGTGGCTTGCAAAGTTTCCAAAAGTAATTCGAAACCAGAGAAAGCCAACCTTTAGCTAAAAGCTTAATAGAACCAAATCAAACCGCCCCACCGTCAAACAATAAAAATCAAAGTACATTAAAAAATGGAATTACAAAAGGCATAAAATTAAAAGGTGATGCCCTTGGGGACAATTAAAAAGCAGAACCCGGGGATCTGGGAAGGAACGTCGGGAGCCGGGTGGCTGCCCTTTGACAACCATTTCGGCTTCCCTGGAGGACTCAGCTAGGCCTAGCTCCCCTCCAAGCTTCCTGTTCCTGCCCCAGTGCTTGCTGGGAGTTTTCTTTCTGACCGGGAAGCTAGGCCTAGCTAGGCCTCAAAGCCTTCCAACGCAGGCCTTACTCCCAGGCGAGCCATAGTCAGATGCTCGTAAGGAGCCTGCAAGAGAGTTGGAACTCCCAGAAAGGAGAATTAGGGTACCTGTAGTCCACAAAATCCAAACAAATCCCATCCCAACGGACAAGGAGGTCTTCTGCCAGACACCCCATAGATCTCCTCCCTGCCCCCCCCCATCAAGGCTGAACAGACCCGCCAAGAAGGGCAACGATCCACCAGCCAACTCCCTGCATCCTTCTCTTCTAAGGGGAAAGGGGACTGGAAAGTTTGTAATACATCACCCGGCCAGACCTGGATTCCAGTTTTGAGGGAGATCTCCCGGAGGAGAGTAATCTTCTGTAGGTTATAAACCTCGACAGCTTGGTCCACGCTCTCGCTGCAGAAAGCAAACACAGTCGGGAGGGAAAGCTCACGAACGCGACCCGAACGCCACCAAGTTCCCCATGACCTCTTCCCTGGGTCACCCGTTTCCCCCCCTCAAAGGATGGGCGTGTGTCGAACGAGGGCACACAGCGACAGCACATTTCAAAAGCAACGGCCCGTTCTCCCCCCCCCCCAAAGGATGGGCATGTGTCAAACGAGGGCACACAGCGACACCACATTTCAAAAGCAACAGAGCAGGGCGGAAACAGAGCCGTGCGACCGGCGTTGGGTGTTTTCTGGATCTTTTTCAAGGAGGGGTCTTCGGGTTCCCCTCCCTCACCCCCTCACCCCCCCCCGGTCACAAAGAGAAAGGCCAACTTCGGGCAGCTACTCGTCCGGCCACGGGGGACCCCTTGCTCCCTCTACCCTTAAAGGGCCAAAGAATTCCTCTGGTTTGGCACCAAAGCTGTCCAAGGGCTAAAAGAAGCCAAAGGGGGGGGGTGAACTCAGGGCTCCCTGCTCGCCCTAGAGAGGGCAGGAATGACAATCGGGTAAGAGATGCCCTCAAACCGGGCGCCCCACCCTCTGCCCAGTCCTGCCGTCCCCCCCCTACCCGAAGGGGAAAAGCTTCCTTTTTCCGCCGCTCGGGCATCGGCTCACCATTCGAGGCCGAAGTCAAAGTAACTCTTGGCTTCGGCGCAGATATTCTTCCACAGCTCCTGGGGGCTCATGGTGGCCCAGGCCGTGTTGTCGGCGGCCCCCAGGTTCCGGTTTTTCCTCCTCTTGCTCTTCTTCCTGGAGACCAGCTCGTCCACGGGAAGGTGGGCGACGGGGTTCGGGAAGGCGCTGACGAAGCAGTTGAGGAAGTGGCTGATGGCGGCCGATAAGCCGGAAAGCTCCACGCCCTGGAAGAAGAAAACAAGGTGGCCGGGATTGGGGTTGGGAAAGGCCAGGCCGGGATGCGGGAAAGATCCCTGGAGAGAAAACGCTTGGAACCCAGCACGGGAAAGATCCAAAGCTGCCCATTTGTCTTTATTCCACTTAAGATAGTTAAAAGGGAGCATCCATTTGGGTAGGAAAGCAGAAGCTTGTGCATAAACACAACCGAAACCCCAGTGGCAGGACAGCCGTGGCGCTGGGCCGGCTGCCGTGGGTCTTCACCCCCGTGGCTCTCTGTACAGGCAGCTGCGAGTGAAATACGGGCATGTAATACAGCAGGGACCCCAGATCTACGGGATCCGTTTCCAAGGTTTTATTTAATGAAACATTAAAAGGAAAAAAAACCTATTTCTACTATGCAGTTACAAGGTTTTATTTAATGAAACATTAAAAGGGGAAAAAATACGTATTTCTACTACGCAGTTATCAAAACTGGCCACAAGAGGGAGCCAGAGACTATGTGATGGTTTGCTATTATCCACAGTTCTTGGCATCCGCGGAGGCGATTCGAACGGATCCCCTGCAGATATAGGGGTCTGACTGCAATGGCTCTTAAAATTCCTCAACCGTTTTTAACCGGTCTGTGTAAAGATGCTGGCCTGAATTCTACGGCTGCCCCAAGCGACAGCAGACCTCCTGAAAGGGCAGGATTGTTGACCCCGCATTCAAATTCCACAGGGTCTACTCGGGTAGGAATTTGGGGGCAGGGTTCCTGGGGGTAGCCCCATTAAGCCTGTTGCAGCAAAGCCATCCGAAGGCTCTTGAAAAGACTGGACAGGTTTTGTCTGGCGTATGGCACAGCCTCCTTCTTCAGAAACATTGAACTGAGCGGTAGCGACACAGCTAAACCCACACTTGGACCTTCCGGGACCCCGAAACCAAAAAAATATCCTGCTATTTCTGGCCCCGCCCATTTTTCCTTAGACTCCGCCCACTAATGCAATCTCCCCCCCTCCCCCGGAGAACATCTCAGGTGGTTTCCAGCTCTCGGGCGGAAAGAGGGACCCTATGAGCCACCCTTAAAGCCCTGGGGGGGGGGAGAAACCTTTTAAATGCCAGCCGCAAGGCCATTGGGGGGGGCAGCAAAAAACCTCTCAAAATATGGTTCCAGTTCAAAGACGTTTGGAGCCACCGTCCTCCTCCTCCTCTGCCACTTGATTTTCTTTAAAGACTTTTAAAAATGTTAAACAAAATTATAAACCTAGTGCAAAAAAATTGATCCATTTGAAACGTGGCGCTGGAGGACAGCTTTGCGTTTGCCAGGAAGACAAACAAGTCCAAACGGTCCCTGGAGGTCAAAAATGCTGGAATTGAGGCTGTCCTGTTTTGGGCATCTCCAGAGAAAGCAGGATTATCTCTGGAAAAAAAAAAGACGATGAGGCTGGGAAAGGTGGAAAGCAGCAGGAAAAGAGGAAGGCCCCAATGTAAGATGGACCGAGTCCCTAAAGGAAGCCACAGACCTGAGTTTGCAAAGGGCTGAGCCGATCGGATGAGAACAGGCCAGGCCAGAGAGGGCTCAATTCATGGGGTCGTTCCAGAACTTGGAAGCAACCCAAGGGCGCATAATAACAACAAAGACAAGAACACCAGAGGCATCGTGCCAAACACGCCCAGCCGTCCGCCGTTTTCGGCACGTGTCGGAAACCGGCACGCCTGCAGCTTCACGCACGGACATGCACGAGCGCAGGGAATGGCCGAGGAAGACCGAGTTGCGCTTGCAAAACACGGCAGTGGGACCGCTTCCCACAGACGGCACCCAAGCCGCTAAACAGTACTCAGGAGGCTGTCGTCTGGGAGGAGAGGACGGGGGACCCTCGTGACGAAAACAGGCCCTGCTTTCTCAGAAACCAAAGGAAAACATATATATATATATTCTTTTTAAGCACCATGGGCGACCACCTGTGGTCCCTTTGCACCCCTTTCTTTCCTTTGGGGAAACTGTGTTTTCCGTCCAGAAGAGGAAACATTTGGTGAAGGGAGAGAGAGAGAAAAATCCAGCTCTGGAGGGGAGCGGAAAACGAACCGGCGCGCGCAAGAGTTGTCCGTGTACGGCGTGGGGACCGGTTTTCCCTCTCGCCTATTTCAGGCAGTAATGAGGTTGCGCTCCCAGTTGCCAGGCAATGCTCACAAAAGCCCTAATGAGGAAATGGCTTCCCCGGGAGCAGGAGAGAGGAGGCAGGAAAGACCGCCTGGCACTGGCGACATAAAGGGGGGGGTCGCCAGGGGTTCATGGGGCGTGGGTGGGGGTGTCTCTCATCCAGGCGTACCTGAAGGTAGACCTTGAAGACGTGCTTGGCCGACCGAGTAATCAGTTCCATGATTCCGATTTTCTGTTCGGGGAAAAAGAAGACCAAAAAAGAAAGGCAGGAGGGAAAAATTAAGTCCGCTGATCTCGTTACCCTGTGAATCAATTAATTTGCAGATTTCCAACTCTGGCTAGGGGGGTTTGGGGACGATGAGGGTCGTAGTCCAAAACCTGGCAGGGTTGCCGAAGCAGACCTCTCTGCTTGATGGATCAAAGAGGAGACCGATTCTGAGCCAGGAGCTTTAGCCCGACCGGCGCCTATTCTGTCTGAAGGTCTTTTCACTTTCTCTCTTAGAAGTCTTAGGGCAGCTTAGGTGGGCAACTTCCGAAAGTCTGGTGGTACAACACCCCCCCATTCATATTTTTCTCCCTCTTGGGCCGAAAAGAGGGCCAAATGGTCTCCCTGCGTCCCCTAAAGGAGGCAGAGGGTTTTTTAAACAGGATGCTCCATGGAGCGGTGGTTCAACTGCAGCGTAGACCATTTCTGTGGTCACGTGGCCAGCGCGACTAGACACGGAACGCCGTGACCTTCACACCGAGGTGGTACCTATTTATCTACTTGCATTTTACATGCTTTGGAACGGCTAGATTCGCAGGAGTTGGGACAAGCGACAGGAGCTCACCCCGTCGCGTGGATTCGATCTTACCACGGCTGGTCTTCTGACCTTGCAGCACAGCGCCACCACGTCCCTGCATAACTAAATCGCAAACCCGCCAGAGAGTGATTTAAGTGTGATGGGGTTTCAAAAGCTAATGAGAAATAGGTTATGAAGAGGGGAGTGACTTTTATTTTACATTTATTAGTCAAAGGGGTGTTGTTTTCTGATGGTATTCAGAGACTTCCAAAACCAAGGCTTGGATCTCAAGCCAAGGAAGAGAACGTGATGGTTTTCACGCAGAAACAGGCTGGACCACGGCGAACGAGAGGCGGACGGAACTTACGTAGATGTGATCCAGCTGAGTCCGGGCCGGGGTCTGGGTGACGAAGTCGACCACCTTGCCCAGGTAGCGCATGTTGATCCCCCGCTGGTGCATGGCCTCCACCAGGGTGGCCCCGTCCATCGGCAGCACCGTGTGGTCCAGGCAGTCTTTGACCTGCAAGGGGAAACGTGGCTGGACGTTAGGGGTGGGGGAGGGCCTCGCCCCCGGGAGGTGACCTATGGGGCTCTGAAGCCAACGTGAGGGACTTCCATTCTGCTGCCCCCCCCGGCTCCCCTTCTCTCTCTCAATCTCTCTCCGCTGTTCCTTCCTTACCTCTGCCTGCTACCTTCTTGACTACCCCGGCCTCTTTGTCCTCATTTCCCTCTCCGTTTATGCCACTCCTGGCCTCTCCCTGCCATTCTCTCTCTTGCTACCACCCCCTTCTGCCTCCCCCGCCTCCTAACCCTCTCCCCTTGTCCCTCTTTCTTGGCCCCATCTCCCCCTCCTTCCTGCCGTAGTTTCAGTTTTTATTCCTCTAGCAGTTCCAAAGTGCATTCAGGAAGACCCCCCCATTCCCGTGGGATCAGTATCTGCCGTTTCACTTATCCGTGGTCTGAAAATAACAAAAATATTAAAATAGAAAAAAAACCCCACCTAGAAATGTGTATCTTCACCATGTATTTACCAGACATGGCCAGCAGAGGGACCCAGAAACCAGGCTACATCTTCTTCTTGTTGAAGAATACATACACAGCATGGTCTCTGCCTCTCTCTAATGGCTGGTTCTGGTAATGTATCATGAAAATGCACATTTCTGGATCCCCTCCCCTTTTTACCATGCAAAGTCTAGTGTTCACTATTATTTCTGGTTTTCAGCCTCTGAAGGGGAGGCTTGGAACCAATCACCCTTGCAGATATGGGGTGGTGGGGGTTCAACTGTATTTTATTCCAAACTTTGAAAACACAAGTGTGAGAAAATCTCTGACTTCTCCAGGCGTGGGCACCTATTTGGGTGGGTGTTTCTTCTTTTTTAAGAGCACGGATCACCGATGAGTTGAACGTATTTCCGGGTCCTGCCCAGCCTTCTCTCCTCCTTCTGCCCTCCCCCCTCCCTGCCCTGCCCTTCCCTTCCTCCACCCCCTCGACTCACCAAGCCTGGAATCTGGTAGGACACCAGGAAGGCAGCTGCGTCCTTCAGCAACCGCTTCTGGTCCTGAATCTGCTCCTTGCTGGACTCTGGGAAGCGAACGCCTAGGAGGCCAAGAAAGGAGGATCAGACGAGACAGAAGAGAGGGGAGGAAAAAGCCCAGCCCAGCCCTGTGTGTGGGGAGAGAAGGCACTTCACCCAAAACCCCTCCTTCCTTCGGCTCCCCACCTTTTGCAAAGCTAACGGTGCTTAATTACCCCTTCAGAGACCACCCCCAAGTACTTTGGTACCAATTATCTTGTTTAAAGCAAAATCTCTTTCCTTCCCGGCTATGAGAAAAGGACTGCAGCTCACTCCGAGGACGCCCGAGCCGGTGGAGGAGGATGGCATCATCCTGCCACTGAGGAATTCACAAGGCTTTGACCCGACAAAGTCCTGGCTGTAGCACACCGCTCATCCTCCGTGAGCCTCCAAGGTGCCAGAGGAATCTCCGGTCACTATCCTCAGGAGCTTCGGCCAAGCACAGCATCCTTCCGCCAGCCACTAAAGGACCCTTCTCCCCCCCCCCCTTTCAGGCAAGGTTTCCCCTCCATGAGTTGGCGACGTTGGATGTGACTTTTTAAATGGATGGTTCTGCCTTATGGCTTGGAATGCGCTTTTGGTATCGCTTCTGTTTGCAGCCTTTTCGTGTGGCATTTCTTTGGCCCTTTTTAAAATGTTTGTATACTTCCTGTCTCTGGCTTTAGATATTGTCTTTGAAGGATGTAAGCCGCCTCGGGTCCTTTTTTTAAGGAGAAAGGCGGGGTAAAAATATTTTAAATTAAAATCTGCCTCTGTTGCCTTAGCATTCAAGCAGTTTATGTACCAGAATGGGAAAGAAATGGACTGGGGTGCGTGTGTGGAGCGATCTCCCCCCCCCCCAAAAGAAAACCAGAAACGGCAAGACCTTGATCCGAGGCCTCCCTGGACGTGGTCTGTTCTCACCGTCTTCCCTCTGCCATGCACGGGAGAGACACGCAAAGCGACAGGCGGAGGGAGGCTCTTGAACCGATTCAGGGAAGTGGCGAGAAAAAGCTGGCCGGGACTCCACGGCACACACACCCCTTGAACCATTTCCCCCCCCCTCGGTCCACCTACCTGGGGAGAATATGTCGGGGTTAAACCGGATGTCAAAGGCCGTGTCGCTGATGGAGCCCACCGCTCTGCACGCATTTTGAATCACCTCCTTGCTTTTGGGGTCCACTGGACGTGGGAAGAAGAAACACAGGTTTTTGTGGGTTTTTTTTGCAAATGTTAGTGGGCACCAGCCAAGAGGCGAAGCAAGCAACCCAACAAAAAGTAAACAGCAGTATCATTAATGCGATTGTAATTAAGGTAGAAACCATCAACCCAATAAGGCTGTTGTCTCCCTCTCTCTCTCACACACACACGTATAGGTACATAATCAGTTAATATTGATTGACCTGCTATCACACTGGTTTTATGTTTGTTGTGTATGTAACAAACAGCCGTTTTGAAGGACACCTACAAGACTAGTGAAGATTCACTCGGCACATGCTTTCACGATGTGCTGCAGAGCCCACGAAACCTGGTGCCAAATAAGCATTTTTTTTCCTATTTCATAAGATTCTTTTGTTATTTGAAAATATTTGGGGAAGAGGGGAGAGACTTTCAGACTTCCTGGGCCACAAATCCTGAAATTCTCCATGCCTGGCTTACAGCCGCCTCAGTGTGGCTCACCTGGGAATGACGTCCTAAAAGAGAAAGCTTCGAGGCCGAGCTCGGCCTAGCCTCCCCCCAAACTTCCTGTTCCTGCCCCAGTGCTTGCTGGGAGCTTCCTTTCTGAACAGGAAGCTAGGCCTAGCTCCATCTCCATACCCTCCAGGGTGGGCCTGATCCCCCCAAGTGAGCCCTATTTAGGTGCATGGAAGGCGTGTATCCGTCAAACCGAAACCCCTGAGTCAAGAATTGTGGGATATGTAGTCCAAGATACCCAAATATCCCATCTCTAAACCATAAAAGCAGCACGTGATTTTTCCGAACAAAACAAATAACAGGGACAAATTTCTTTTAAGAAAGGAGCTTCCACAGGAGAGGAAGAGAAAGATCTACCCGCTACATCATCCGACGCGATGGTTTCCGTCAGCTCTTTCACCCGGTCCAGCCCGGCCACGTTCTCTTCCAGGTTGCCCTCCATCTTGTCCTCCAGCCTCCTCTCTTCTATGGGGGATTTCTCCCCCTCCTCCACCCCATTTTCGGAGGAGACACCAGTGGGGCTGCCGCCGTTTTCCAACGAGGCGCCGTTCTCCGGTTGGTTGGCCTTCTGCTGCATCAGCTGGAGGGCCGCCAACTTCATGAACATGAGATATCTGAGGGAGGGAGGCAAGAAAAAACAAGACCCTCCAGCAGATCCATAAACACACAAGAGGGACGTGTCCCGTACACAGAGCTTTATGCAAACATGACGATCCGCTAAAAGAGGGTTAGAAAACAGGTCACACGAGCACACACCCCTAAATTCAGCACTCCGTTTTCTCTCGAACGTCTCTAGCCTTGGAGTGCTCACCACGTCATGCGTTCCACTGTCGTACTGCTCTAACAATTAAGACTTTTTCCATGATATTCTGCCCAAATCTGGCTTCCTATCACTGGACTCCATTCTTACACGTCCTGCGCTCTGGGAGGATCGAGAACAGATCCTGCCCCTCCTCTGTAGGACAGTCTTTCAAGTCTTTGAAAAGGGCTATCACGTCTCCCCCTCTGGCTTTTTCTCTCCAGTTCTTTCTGTCTTTCCTCCCAGGGCTTGGTTTCCAATTCCTTAATCATCCTCCTCCTTGCCCTCCTCTAAACTTGTTCCAGTTCGTCAGCATCCTTCTCGAAGTGCCACTACCTGGTGAGCGCTCCAACGCCGGAGGCCTTCGTGAGAAAACTTAAGACAACCTTCCATCAAATCTCCTATGGTATGGATCCCTGCCTTGAGTCGGGGGTCAGACTCAATGACCTTCGAGGCCCCATCCAACTCGATCATTCTACGATCATGCACTCACAAAAGACAGCCAAGATGGCTGGAGAAAAACAACAACAACACAGTGCTGAGAATATTCCAGTTGAAATCCTACAAATTGTTTCTCCGGAAGCCAGGTTGACAGTTATTACTCTAACTGTGCGGCACGTTTACGGAAGTGCCGGTTTGGCCGTTGGACGAACGGGTGTTCGCACTTCCCAGCCCCGCCTCCTCCTCCTCTGAGTGGGCGCCCACGGGAGGAGGCGGGACTGAAGAGCGCGAACACTTGTTCGTCCAAAGGGCAAACCGCTGAACCAAGAGTTCGCGCCCATCTCTACACATGGTGACAATTAGCTACGATTAATAACATTACGGGACAGCCGTTGGCGCATCGACTCAAATGTCATTATTGGAGTACTGTACACCCCGACGGGGTGAAGCTGGGACTTTAGAGACATCCATCAAAATCCTACTGGTTCCTTTCCGCCCCCCGCCCCCCAAGGTTTGGCTCAATTTCACGTGACCAACCGTGCCACCAAGGAACCACAAAACCCTCCAGAAAACAGCAGGAAAGCCCCCCCCATACAAAAAAACAAACAAACAAACAAAAAGCTGATCTGCCTTGGAGACATCTGGGCAACAAACAAACAAACAAAAAACAACCCCCAGAGCTGATCCGCCTTGGAGACATCTGGGGCGGTGGTCTATTTTCTCTCTAATCACCATTTCACCCTCCCGGTGGCCTGCTTTCAGCCCTAAAAGGGCCTTTTTTTGGAAACAGGAAGAGATTGGCTCGCTATTCCCTGTTTGAACACAGGAATGAGCGGAGGCCTTGAAGGCTGAAAACAGACCCCCATCAAAATCAGTCCTCCTCCTCCTTACGATCCAAGGGGAAAGGCGCGGAAGCTGGCCGGGAAACCCTTGGCCCAGCCTAGCCGTAAAGCAGGACCCCGATTTCTGCACGGGATCAACTTCCAGCCTCCCCGCAGATACTGAAAACCGCGGATAATACTGAACCCTATACATACTATGGTTTCCAGCTCCCTCTGGTAATTAAATCCTGGAAATATGTTTGTCTATGTTCTCCCCCCCCCCTTTTTTTAATATTTTCAGACCACGGAGAAGTGAAACTGCAGATACCGATCCCGCCGATATGGGGGTCCTACCGCCTATCCCGAGAGAACCCCAGTGGGCTGATCACACGGGGGGCGCCGGCAGCTCACCTGTGCTCTACAAAGGCATCGACCAGTTCTTGCCGAAGGCAGCAGAGCTTATGCCGGTGGTGTTTGGGGAAGCCCATTTTCCGGCACTCCTCCGGCATCTCCTCCCCGTCGACCGGCAGAAAGTTCAGATCGGGGGGGAAGGTTCGGAGGAGGTCGAGGATGTAGTGCCGCCCGTCGTTGCCGATGATCCCCTTGCACTCGACGGACGAGCACAGCGGCACCTCCTGGTCCTTGTCGTTGAGCACGGGGTGCTTCTGGATCTTGAGCGGCCGGCTGGTCTTCTCCAGAAGCTCCAGGTACTTGGGGTGGGAGACGACGGTCTTGCCGAAGTCGATGGAGCCGTAGATGACGCTCTGCTCCTGCTCGCGCTCCAGGATCCCCGGGATGATGGACTGGGCCGTGACCCGGTAGCCCCGGTAGTCCACCACCACCGTGCCCAACGTGTAGAGGCCTTCCACGTCCACGGCGTTGTAGGTGCGCACCCCGTTGAGGTCGTTGGTGGGGGCCACGTAGGCGGCCACGTCCCCCCCAAAGTCCTTGTAGTGGTCGCGGACGTCGAAGCCCAGGCTGAAGAAGATGTTGTTCCAGATGAACATCTGCATCTTGGTCTCCTCGCTCGGGTTGATGGCCATGACGTTGCCGTCGATCACCGCCATGGCCCCCCGCGTGGCGGCCGCCGTGAAGTCGCTGTGGACCTGGGGGGGGGAGTGGGAGGGAGGCACAACCACGGTCAAGGGAGGAAGGCCTGGCCCGGTGGGGTCAGCTGGACAACAAGTCCATCCCACACTTGCTGAGGGTGGATGATGGGTTGCGTATCCCACCAATCCTCTCCCGACTGTAAAACGAAGGTTCTTTATTATTTCGTTTGGGGAAAGGGAGTTTCCACGGGTGGTTTTAAAGAGGAAAAGGTAACAGGGGGAAAGAAAGAGCCCGAGAGGCAAAGGTTGGGGAGGGCGGGGGGGGGCCAGGAGCCCCCTGGGTCACCACCAACCTCTATCCGATGGGAGGGGCATAAAACTCTAGACACTTTGGCCCTCTGCCTCCCTGCAAACAATACCAGGGGGGGACGGGCGTTCTGTGGAGGTTGCTCAACCACAGAGACTTTGCTCTTTAGCCAACAAAAGGACCTGGTCAAGGATGATGGGTGTTGTAGTCTAAGACCCCCCGCTGTGCGCTGCGGATTCTGAAAAGCCATGAGGGTAGGAAAGGAAAAACAGACGTTCTTTCGAAATAGAAAAACAGAACGGCAAGCCAAATAATAATAATAAGAAATAAAATAAAATAAAAATAAACAACCCCAAGTGCAGTTGTTTATTCTTTCTCTGGACTTGAAGAAAAAATGCCCTCACAAGACGGGATACCTACAGAGACATGTCGGGATGGGAGCAAAGCAAATCTCTACCACCCCCCCAGGTCTCAGGCCAGCCCAACCCAAGGTCCGTCCCCGGTTTCCGAGCAGCTGACAGGAAACCAAAGAAGTTGGGCTTCGGGTCATCTCTATCACACTGAGGACTAGAACCTTTGCCGCTGCCAGGGGCCAACCCCCCTTTCTCTCCGGCTGTCCCTCCAACCCATCCTGAGCTTACCTTAAAGATCGCTCGTTCTCTCAGGAGCCTCTCGGGAAGATTCTTCCGGGGCAGCTCCCGGGTCGTCTGCAACTCCTCGTTCCAATCTCTGGTCTGCAAGAAGATCCGGGAGGAGGAAAGAGGCAGACGGGGAAAACAGACCCCCCAAAAAGGGAGAGAAATTTAGCTTCTAACAGGAAACGGCTGATGTTCTTGAATGGGGTGTGTGTGTGCAGGTCTTCCTGCTGCCATTCACTCCGACCGCACAGGTACCTATTTCCACCGTTTAAGAAGGAGGCCATTTCCCACCCACCCTGCCCATGTGTTCTTAGCATTGATTTACTGTTTTTCGGTATGGCATTAGTTCGATCCTTCTTGGTATTTGTATCTTCACTGTTGTTAGCTTTAAATAGGGCCCTTCCAAGGATGTAAAGCGGCCTTAGGTCCTTTTTAAGGAGAAAACCAGGTTAACAATATTTTAAATAAAATAAAGAGTAGGTCGCAACTAGAGTAAAGCCCGTGGAATCAAGAGGGGATTTGGGGAGTCCACGCCTCTGCAACTCCCATGGATTCAATGGGCTTACTCTAACTGAGATTTACTACTGGGGTTCAGCCCGTGTCTTTCTAATTCTGCACCTTGCATTTATTGTACGTCTGGATTTTGTCAACTCACTCTGAAACCGACAGCTCATTGATATTGACATACAAATGAAGACGTGGATCGCAAGGGCGCCCGGGCCCCCCAAAATCTGCTCCTACCTGTCCCGGGATGTGTTCTTCGTAGCCCAGCCTCGAGGTATAGGCGTCTTCGGCCCGCACGCAGTCCATGGCATGTTCGGCCAGGGGTGCCGTCCAGGTGTACACCTGGAATGGGGTAGAGATCCGTTCCAGCGGGTGCCTCTGGACGCTGGTTTGGAGTCAAACGAGATGCAGCCATCGTTATAATCCCATCTTCGGCACACGGCAGGTTCACCAATGGGAAAGAGCCATAGCGTCACCTGCTCAAATCTGCCTGGATTTAAAGTTACACTTGATTCACCCCAAAAAGGGGAGGTTTGGGGCATGATGGAGACCACCGTTGAGAAAATAAAAACAGAAACAAACATCCCCTTCCATCAATATCATATATATTCCGCTTTGTGGAGGTGCAGGCATCGGCCTCCCTGGTGGTCACTGTGTCTTCATTTTACGCTAGAAAAGCTTTTGGCATTCATAGAGGTGTGTGGCGTTTAAAAAACAAACATACACCTTGTTCTCTGGACCTTAACTGAGGCTCAGTGTGGCAGAGACCTGCAGGCATCATCACTAAAAAGAGGTCAAGCCATCCAAGACTGGGAGGATTTATATACTCCTCTCCATCACTCTGAGATCAGGCAATCTTCTGTCATTGAAAATTAGAAGGGTGCAGATCTGTGGGAGGTTTCTGGAATCTGAAAACAACCCCCCTGTACCCCTCTATTTAACATCTAATAAAAATAATAATAGTAAAATCCACACACCTCTATTTAAAATCTAGTTAAAACAACAACAAGTGCTGAACCTTCTAGGAAGTGGTCTCTTTCTCTCTCTTTTTAAAACCATGTTAGGAGCAAAGCACTTAGGATTTAAAAGGGGTTAGGGTCACTTGCCAAAGTCGAATCACTTGCCAAAGCTTTGCTTTTGCCAAATAAATCACCTTCCCGCACCTGAGCATTCATTGGTGGTTGTTTTTAACTGTGGTTCTAAATTTTTATTTTGGCACATGGCACCCTAGGAATCTATTGGATGGATAGGGCATAAAGCATCCGAAATGACATTTTTGGGGGGGAGGGGAATGCAACCACCTAGATTTGCTAAGACAACAAGAAAGGCTGATGCAAAAACCTGGGCAGGGGGTGTATCTACTACGAAACCCATGAAGCTTCAGCTTTAGGGGTCTTAATCCTGGAAGGAGCCCCAGAAACACATTTAGTCCACATTTTAAAAAATATATTGTGGCAATCTGTCGTCGCACAAACCCACTGAAGAAGATAACAGTTACCCAGACCTTGTAGCAAGTTGCAAAGGGCTCCCTATAACTAGTCAAGGCAGAAGGCAAAGCCCCAAGTTTTCCTTTAAGGAACGGCTACAGCTCCGGAACAGGGCATGTGCAGAGAGCATTATTCCTGGCCCATTGAAGGGGATTTTGAAAAGCTCTTCCCCGGAAGGCCGGGAGTCACGCCATCCCCCATCGTTCTGCTGTTAATAATGAACCGGATGGACAAGACAGATCAACGTTCCATTTCCCTGTTTAAACAGGGCCTTAATTCAGAATCTTGAGGACTAGAATCTTAGTTCAGCTCAAGGGGAAGGGGTCACGCCCAGGTTCACTTTCTCTCTTTTTCTGGACGGCAACTCCCACAACCCACCCCCCTCAGCCAGCCTGGGCGTGCTAGGAGTTGTAATCCCCCCCCGGCCGCCGTTTCAGAAGAGGGTGTGTGCGATGAGCTGCTCAAAGCTCTGAGACGTCCGTCTTAAATGGAGCAAAATCCTCCCTCCCCCCAGATCTATGGTCCCTATCAGTGCAAATCTAACAAAGCTAGAGATGTACAGCATTTTTCTTTTAAACTTTTGTGTGCATGCATGCACACTTGTGTAAAAGAGAGAGGGAGAGAAAGAAAAATGGAGACTCTGAAAGAGAGGTCTATCCTTCTCCCTGTTTTATCCTCACAACAGCCCTACGAGGCGGGGCGGACAACAGAGAGAGGCGGAGGGACCGGCCTTTCGAGACCCCCGCGGTCAGTTTCGTGGCTGCACCCGGAGACGTTTACCGTTTCTTCTGGAGGGAAGCGAAGTTCCTTTTGAAGGTGGGGCTGATCTGGTTCATGAGCTCCACCAGGGAATGGCTGAGGAAGCTAGGGTTGGCCGGCTTGGGGTTGAAGACGTAGGCGGTGGACCTGCAATTAAAAACAAAATAAAACAAAAAATAAAACAAGGAGGCCACCAAAGGCTTAGAGGTGTGGGGCTGCAGAAAAAGGATGAAGAGCCTCCACTCAGTTGGGAGGAATCCACAGTGGTGCCCCGCTTGACGACGGTAATCCGTTCCAGCAAAATCGCTGTACAGTGAAATTGTTGTCAAGTGGGAAAAAAACCCATTGGAATGCACTGAAAACTGGTCAATGTGTTCCAATGAGGGAAATACCTCCTCGTGCAGAGAAAATCCTCCATATGGCAGCCATTTTCCGCTCCCTGTCTTGTGAAATGAGGTCAGCAAAACAGCAGGGAGCCATTTTGAGAGCCGCCGATCAGCTGTTTTTAGATAGTCCTTTAGCGAAAAATCGGTTCCCGAAGCAGGGAACCCATCATCGTCAAGCGGATTTTCCCCATACAAACATTGTTTTGCGACTGCTATATCGATTGCAAAATAATCATCGTCAAGCAATTTCATCGTCTAAAGAGGTAATCGTCAAGCGGGGCACCACTGTACGTTGAAGTCTATCCCACCAAGGGCGGTCGAGCTTTCTCTCAAAGGCCTCCGGTGTCAGAGCGCTCACCATCTCCCAAGAGAATGGGTTCCCTTGTCGTACTGCTCTAACAGTTAAGAGGTTTTTTTCCTGAGATTCAGCCTAAATCTGAAAACCTTTCAAGTCTTTGAAAAGGGCTCCCTTGTCTCCCCTCGGTCTCCTTTCCTCCAGGCTCAACAGGCCCTGTTCTTTCAGTCTTTCCTCCTAGGACTTGGTTTCCAGCCCCCCAAGATCATTCTTGATTTGTCCATTGTAATGTAGTGGATAGAGTGATGGGCTAGGTAGTCAGGAGACCTGGGTTCAAATCCCTGATCAAACACAGAAACTGTGGGAGAACTGTTAAAACCACTTGTTACAGATCTCAAGTTTCCCCGAAAGCCCTCTTCGGATTGCTACACTTTACGGCACACAACACAGTATTTTATCGATCTGTAAGTTGGGGGAAAAAAACACAATTAAACCACAAATAGCCAACCAACTTCACCTTATGAATTTACACCTTTTGTAAAAAAATAAATGAATTTACCTTTCGACTCTCCAGATCAAATAAAGAACAACATTAAACTGTGATCAATGTTTGTTTTCAGTTTCAGCAAACATGTATAGCCAAGTCTAATTTTGTGTAATGTCTTAAAAGATGTTTATATCCTTATATCCTGTGACTCTCTAGCCAGTATGTCACACCAGTTGTCTAGTTAATATTCTGAGCCCTCCACCAACTTTATTTCCTGATTTAAAAGGTAAAATGAATGAATACAGTGGAGAATTTGAACACAGCTCCTCTCGGTTCTTTTTCTGGCCTAGTCAAGACCTCAAAAGGATCAAACCAAATATCTCATTCCAACAACTCATGGCCTGCTAGAACAACAGACCATGTGTGCCAGTAGACATATACAGTAAGACCCCCTTATCCGCGGGATCAGTATCCACTGATATTTTCATAGTCTGAAAATATTAAAAGAAAAACTGCAGAAATATACATTTTAAAAAATGAAGTTACCCAAATTGACTCCTACAAAGAACCAGAGACCATGCTATGTATAGCATTCACTATTAAAAGAAATGTTTGCTATCATCCGCGTTTTCCAGCATCCGCGGGCAGGCAGGGGCTTGGAATCGATTCTCCTGCAGATATGGGGGACCCTCCTGTATGTCAAACCAATGTGCTACAGAAATCAAATCCCCGTTCTATTTGGGGAAGTGAAAACCTCTGGACAAGAGCTTCGAGTTAAAATATTTTTTCTGGACCATCCACGACACCAGTCCAGAAAAACCACAGAGGAACGACGAGAGCTGCATCTTTTGAGACACTCACTGGTTGAGGTAAAAGCCTCGCGTCGACGCCGTGATGCTCACGTGCCGATCTTCCATCGTGATGACGTAGAGGTACATGAGGTCCCCGTGCATCTTCCGGTTCCCGGGCGGGGGGTTCCAGCCGCTCATCGTGAGGACTTTTAGGCACTGCAAAGGCTACCGGGCGGGGAGGGGGAGGAGGAGAGGAAGGGAAGGATGGCAAATTTGCAATTTGATTCTCAGAGCTGAAGGGAAAATGTGTCTTGGACAATCTAAGATTAACCTAGGGGAAATATTCTAGATTATTTCTCCTTTTCTTGAGGTTCTCCGGCAAACGGGCTCACCACACCAAGTTTTGGACTCCAGAGCCTTAAGAACAGATTTTTGTCCCTGGGGTGGAGTGGGTGTGAAGAAGCATTTGAAGGAAGACTCAAGG